GTTGTTTGAACGAGGCGATAATGAGATTGATGAGATCAGTGCAGAATGCAGGTTTCTGTGTTCTCCTGCTGCCATCATGAGGACATTTTGTGTATTACATCCTCAACACTGGATTATTGTGTCCTAACTATCTGCTGCCAAAGCGTGTACAATCAAGGCCTCTGGACTAAATGATAATAATCTTCAATTGCTTGTATTCAAACACAAATAATAATAGTGGACACTTGAGCATTAACCCCTCCTTTGCAGCATTTCATACATTTACAGAGGAGTCTTGTAACTAATCGCCATTTATTTATCTTTAACACATCAGCTGTTGCAGTAACTCAAAAAATGGTCAATGTAATGCACATTGGAGACAAATGCTCTTTCAAAACAAGTCAGATGTTATTTGGCATGAATATTTTTCGGTGATTTTTTTTAACCTTCTACCAGCATGTGTTATAACATCAGGGTGTAAAAATGACTTTCTTGTGTGTATTTCCATTAAAATAAAAGGGATATGATTTTGTTACTGGTTCACTTGTCAATAACCTATTTTTGGCTCATGTTATTTGTCTCAGCCTACAAAATAATCTTTGAATATGGACTAAACACAGCGGCCTTATCTGTGGAATAACTTGCAACTGAGTATTTCTCTCGCCTTCGTGTTTATGAGCACATTTATCAGTGAAAATATGAAAAACACAAAATATTTTTGAGATTGTTGGGGCCTCGGTGCTCACACAGGAGAGCATGCAACAGTCTAGAATCAAAAAATTCCTGCAGGGACAAAAAGGAAATTTAAAATGTCTACTGCATTGTGTCATGCTGCCTAACATTTTCATGTAAAACTGGTTTCCTGGCTTTGATTGTGGTGATGTCAGAGCATTGATGTATGTATAAAATGTTATGGTAACCCACCCAAAAGTAAAACTATAAATGTATAACCTCATGGTGACGTAAGTTGGTATCTTATTTTATTTAATATAACTTGTAGATATATCTTTTAGAATCAAGACTGACCTACTTATCGTTGCAGAAATATGAATTTCAAAAAGGTCCAGTTAGAAAACCTCCTCATGAGTAGTGAGAGTGACAAGTAGCTCTCGTCTCCACGATAAAAGAAGATCATAAAGGAGTAACATGATGGCAGAGTGCAGTGAGCGTGGGACGCAGCATGGAGTGAGCATGGAGTGTGGGCAGCAGAGTGGGGTAGACCTGCATGGAGAGCACTTTGGCTTGTTTTTGTCATTACCACGGTGACTGTAAAGCACATTTGGAAACACATTTATCAAACAGTAAAGTTGCTTGTTATGTTGCCCACTGTTCAGGATGTGAACAGGATGACTCTGTGTTTAATCATGGATCGGGGCTGCATAACTGTATGTTAATATTCCAGCAGGAATTATAACAAGAGATTAAACGATATATGTAGCCACCTGTTTGACAATACCAGTTTGTCGACCATCCGCTGTGCATGCTTCTATGTACACGAGAGTATGCCTCACTGGCAAGCTCACTGCCGCGCTCTGCATTGCTCTCATATAGTGGTTATGGCTGATAATACCGCCCCGTACAGTGGCGTCCATGTAACTGTAACCCCCCCCTACTGTTCCCCGTCAAGTAAACACTGTCAGCACGTTTCCCCTAGTTTTTACTGTTAGCGCTTTTAGCACCGTTGACTATGAGCCGCTGGCTCAGGCGTCGCCATGTTGAGAGCTGTTGAGAGGCAACCAATATCGTCTAATATCTATAACGTTGAATAATTGAGCATGCCTCCTCTGTGTACAGTTTCATTGCTCACAGTTACAGTTTATGCAATATGGTGTTTGATGTTTAGCTCAAGGACACCTCAACAGCAGTGGCTCAAGGATCAAACCGCTAACCTTGCTCTACCAACAGATCTACAGCCAACATGCCAGATAGTTATAGCTATTTAACTGTAAACCTTTCCACAGCTGGTGTAGAACATTTAACAGACGCCCACTTTGTTCTTTTGAGGAGCCTGAGGCCAATTCTTTCTTCAGCTGAACTATTCCTTACTTTGCTGCCTGATCTCTATGCCCTCTGTACACTGCATTTCATTTTGAATGTCTGCCTCTGGACACTATTACACTACAGAGTTTCTACTTAGCACTGAGCTTCATTCAAAGGACTTCTACAAAGTTTTCAAAAACTTCCAGGTCATCACCGGATTCTTGCAATCCTTAGCTGCTTTTCTTGGGGACATTTAACATCGTTTCTTTCCCGCATCCTCAAGAGCAGACCTTCTTATCCTCTGCTGCTTTACTTTTTTATTTCAACGTTCTCTTGGTCCATAGTGATGCACATGCCTGAGCTTGATGTCTATGACTCATCCTCATACCTATTTGTATCTTGTGGGTTTGAATCCGACAAATCAAGTCAACCTTTGATATTGTGTTTCTAATCCAAGGTGTCCCTTATGAGGCATTTCGCCAAGATGTCATGTGTTTCATTTCTGTCTGCTGCTCTATTCCCAATGATCCACAGTACTGGCTCTGATACAGCTTTTGTTTTCAAACTAGGACACACATCTGCCTAGAAACCCACGAAGAAGACGAATGCGGGCAGCAGGTTACTAGAAATGGACATTTTTTTTAAAAGCATCTTTTTATACTCCCTTGAGGGTCAGAGCACATCAATGTGACTTCAGTTACAGGATGAACTGTGCCCACTGGGTTCCTACTGGTACTGTGTTAACATATTTTTTTAATTTGCAAATGGCGTCCTACTGACCTTGTTATACCTATACACTGCACATTGTTTATGTACCTTGTCGCTTCTGAATTGAATAATTTATTCCCCAATTGAATAAATGGTTTAACACAGGGGTCTTCAATGTTTTTCAGGTCAAGGACCCCCAAACTGATAGAGAGATGGAGCAGGGACCCCCGACTATATATATTGTATAAAATTGTTTTATATTAAATGGGCCTAGTACCGTGTATATCTCTTTATTGTGCATTCAATACTAAGCTATTCAAATAATACACAGGTTCATATATTCATGTTTTTATTTTAAACATGTGCAAGGTACAGTGAGGAGGGTGACCCTGCCACTGCCATTTATAAACATACCTTGTCAACTGATACCAATGCCAATATCAACATTGTATGTTCATTGCATGATAATCCTGCATATAAGCTATTCAAATAGACGTTTTCATTTTAAACATAAATGTGGAAACAAAAAATGAGTGATGGCCTATTAGTGCCACTGCCATGCATAAACATACCTGTTATCTTGCATACAATACTGAACTGTTAAAATAATGGACAGATTCATGTGTAGAGAAAAAAAATTGTCTAGTCAACCAAATATCGAGAGACAGCGAGATCCTTCTTGTGGCACTGGCACCTCTGTGGCACTCTGTGGCACTCAGCGGCACTCTGTGGCACTCAGCGGCAGTCTGTGGCACTTCAGCGGCAAGCGTCAGCTGTGGCAGGCGAGCGGTACTAGTTCGGCACCCGTCAAGAAGCTGCGGAGCTGAGGGGGCGGAGCCACATTTCCTGAGAACACACGTTGTTGTTACAACAGATCAGCTTCCGTAAATCTGTTTTATGATTTTAGTTGAGTCACCGGAGCCACCCGTTCTCTGTATGCACCCTTAGAGTAATTACGTTGTACTTTTTTGTTTCTCATTCATTTTATTTAAGTATGATTTTGCTGGTTTTGCAACAAAAGGGAACATAATACACTCTTTCCAAATTATTACTTTTACAGTCATTTACAACAATCGGCTAAAATAACGAAAATAAATCATCCGTTTTATTATTATTTAAAAGTATATATATAAAAAATTCCGTAGCTACTTCCACACATGCACTTTACTTATATGTCATATATCAGATTTATGTATACTGGGCCACTTGGAGGTTGCTTCTGAGATGGGCCGCCAATTAAAGAAGCTTGTTCTACAGTATAGGCTACTGTATATAGAGTTGTGTAGAGAGTGCAGCTGCCCTAGCTGCCCCTTGTGGATATTTGGTTAATTAAAATTTAGTTTGGGAATAATAGCCTAAAATAGTTAGGTCCCTACGGTATATGCTGCATTTCTTTCTTCCTTTTTTTTACCTTGAAGGCCTGTCTTCTTGAGAGACCCTGTGTCAAAATCCACTTTGAATACCTTTTAATAACAGTCGAATATACTTACATGGGGCATATTCTAAATAAATCAGTGTGTAATCAAAATATTGAAAGCTAACTTGGGAAGAGGATTTGGTTGAGTATAGATAGATAAGGAGGCATCTATAGGTAATTTGCCCCAGGCCCCTCTAGTGGGTTAATGTTACAGATTATAAATTAGTCTGCATACCGAGGTGGTTTTATGTGAGTGTATGTACAGTCGGCCTACTGCATGTACAGAGTACACTTACATATGTCAATAAAAGGATATGTATAATGTGGGTTGAAGTAGGCTATATTATATAGTACAGCGTATGATTGTATTGCAATTTATTTCACATATTTTAGACCTCATAACTCATAGACTGTCCCCATATTTACTCAGCAATTGCAGGATTTCACAAAGCGACTATTTCCTCATATCAGCAGTACTGTAAGTCATGATGCCGTAACGTCTGATGGCAAGATAAAAGAAGGTCTGTTAGAACAATGTAGACGATTAACGTCTCACAACACTCAACATGTCTCTCTCTAACAACCGTAACTGGTCTCATCGCTTGGTTATTCTCCGCTTTGTGGTGGTTACAGTCATGAAAAACAAATGGCCTAGCGGGTTCTCTTATGGAAAGCAGGCAGGGCACAGTGGGGCTACAGTGACATTTTCCCCACATGCAAAATCATGCAAAAGGTAAATACTGAAGCGGAGGGATACAGACACTATTGCAGAACATGGCCGTCACCTCCGTCATGTCCTCTCGCAAAGACTCGCCCACTTCTACAACACTGCGCTTTGATTGGACGATAGGCTCGCACGTCAGCTTCCTATTGGATCTGCGACGGGTCAATCGTGGGCTAATTTCAATGACGTCGATCCTACACTGGGTGAGCTGTATAGCCTGGGTGGACAGTATAGTTACTTCAACATTAAATGGAATAAAATGCCGAGGATTTATGTAAATAGAGACGTCGCTTCAACGTAATTAATTGATGCTTCTTAATTAAGACATTACGACATCTAGAGCGCGTGGCGACAGGCCTATTTTTGGCTTTTTATCAGCAATATTTCAGGGTAAGTGGAGTGATACATTTCCTTCCTGCGTCTTTTCTCCTCGCACAGAAAGCAGACCTGCTAGCTTTATTATTCTAATATTGCAAAGTAAATACGCGTCACTGTATTGATCTGTGTTCCACAGAAGTATAATCTCAATTTGAAAACGAAGTGTTTGTGATGTGATTTAAAGTAGTGCGTGCTACAGCTCGCAGAGCCGAGTTACATGGAGAGTGTCAGGAAGGTAATGGCTGTCGGTCGACTCGTAACTTGAAAATTGTGAAATGGCCTGTTTAGAGTAGCTCGTCCCTTTGTCCTGTAAATCAACCCGGGTTATGGTGTCTTAAATCGGGGTATTTAGTAAAAATCCGGACACATGATTAGCTGACGGTATTAGCTTCCGACCTGTCGAATCAGAGCCTGTAGGGTAACGCTACCTGTCTGCAGTCAGAGGGCCTACCAGTCTCCAGACTCCATCTGTCATGATGTTTTTGTAGGACACAGCCTTCAGTCCCGCTCCCACTTTGTTAGAAATCACTTTAACCTCGTGTGGACTCTGCATACCACATACAACATGGCCAGTAGTTTAGTGACATTAAGGAGAAAACAGACCTATAAGAGACCTATTGTTCAAAGCTGCTCCTCTAGCTGCGTTTTTCCAGCTTCACTCTTAAAGAGCCTCAAGAACAAATTACATTTTTTGATGTGTGTGCTCGCAGTGACTTGATGAGATTTAGTACAAAAGTCACTGTATTGATAATGCCAAATGTCAGACAGCGATGCTGTTGGCATGCAAAGGCTATTTGCATGACTGTATTTACTGTAAGTCTGACTGTGTTCTTAGTCAAATTTGGGCACCATTATTATGGTTTAGCATGGGGCTGTATGCATTCAGTGCACTGGACATCAGCAGCCATGATTCTCTGTCATCCCGGGGTAGATACCAGAGCTGTTAGGCAAGAAGTAGGCCAGTTTGACAGAGTGACACCACTGCGTGCCATCCCTGCAAATGGGTTCACGTCAACATATGAAGGTAGTACAGTCTTACTAATTGAGAGCATAGACGGCTCATTTCACCAATCAGTTCTCCACAAACAGCATGTTTATTTTAATGTGTAATATGTTTTATTGGATTTGCTGCTGAATCCTTATGTTTAGAAGTCAACGCCAAGTTCTCTGGCTCCCAAATATTCCTATTTCTCTACTTGCCTCACCGCAGGATTCAAAGTTTTTTCATTTTTGCCTTTTGGCTTCCCGAAAACCTTTCTGCAGTATCAACAACAGAAGTATTTTATTAAAATACTTGAAATAACAGTACTGTTGAAACGTGCAGTTGCTATGGGTAGGACTTTGAGCTAATAAAGCTGGGAGTGGTTTCCAAGATGAACAGAATTAAATCAACCAAAGGTTTTTCCAAGTCCGCAGCAGCAATTCCTTAAGATTGAATTCAGGTCTTGAACTGTTGCCTTCATTTGTCTCTCAGGTCACATAAAGCCTAACAAGTCAGACAACAAATCAAAGAGTTATTGATATTTCTTAGTTAAGCAAAGATGTTTATAATAGCAATACACACATTTCATTCAAAACAAAACATGTATTTACTGTCTTTAAAGAGAGTCAGGGAGGAGGGACCAAAATAGATGATATTCTTTAAATGATTGAAATAGATATAAGTATAAACAAAACACTAAATGTACAGTAAACACAGTGGTAACATCTTTCTTTCCAAGTTCAGTCCTCTATGTTGGTCGAAATACTTCAGCCGTGTCTAGAAAGTTGTAACTTCTCTAAGATTTACTTTCCTTGTATCTCCTGATTTTATCAAGAGGAGAAGGCACAGTAACACCTCAGTGCTTTCATTGATTTGATGCTAGTGTTAATTTTATAGTGAGACATGAGGGGAAAATATTAAGACTCAAATGAGACGTGAAAAATATAACATTATTAAAATGATTTAATTGGATAGGTATTATGCTTTTGAGATTAGATCGTAATTTGCAGTGAAATGTACAGCTCTAGTTTCCGGGCAGTTCTTTCAATTTAAAAAGTGCAGAGTACCTGAAACCAGTTCTGCCAACATGCGTACAAAGTCACAAGACTATGTGAGTGCAAGTAAGCCCGGTCCATCTTTGGGAAATGGAGACTGAGCCATTAAGACTGTCCCAAACCCCTGTCTGAGAGCTGTGGATGGGCAAACCCCTCTGCAAGTCACGTTTGAGGCTCCGACCATTCATCTCAGGGCTTTGGCACATTTCATTGGCTAGTGCATAATCCGCTAAAGGTCACAGCCACTAATTACACTCCTCCAAAACTGACAGATGCCTATCCTGAGCTTGATTGCGTTCTCCTTCATCAGAAGAATATTCGAGGGTTGCATAACCGTAACTTGGATGATTCGAAAAACGTGCGTGGCTCCATTATTTCTCTCTTTTTACCAGAGCGACCAAATGCTTGCCCTCTTAAGATAATGAGGCAAACCTGGTCCAGCCAAAAGTCCATCATTTTCCACTATTAAACTATTCTATCTAGTGCCTTTTACTTGTTAACGGTCTTCACTGCTTCTTTGGCTTCTCGTATGTCACAGAACGAGCTTGGTTTGCCTGGATGCAGGGCTCAGTTTTAGCCAAGCGGCGACCTCATTATGCTGGCGTCCAATCAGTCCTCCGGCCAGCTCCTAATTGAGCCATCAGCGCCTTAAGGGGGAAGAAGAGGGATGAACGTGTCAATTACAGTAATGAGGGGGCAGAGGGCAGTCAGGCAGAGGGAGGCTGGACAGAAGCCTTGCAGTGTAGCCCCATTCTGGTCAATTCACGGCTAATCAAAGACTGTCGCTTGGCAAAGTTAGTAGAGTCGTTGTTAGTCATTTTCCCCTCGCGCAGTGGGATATTTCTACATTTTGTGGTAATTGTTTAGAGTTGGTGCCTTTATAGTTGCAGCTAATGAATGATTTATAATGAATGTATGAGAAGCTACACGTAGGTGCAGCAGAGACCACATCATACAGGTTTTGTCTTTGGAGTAATAATGGACATCATCAAGGGGGGATTTAAACACGTGTAATACATGGCACTGATAAATGACGCTGAGCATTTTAGAGTTGGACCTAATATGCTGGCTTTTATTCCAGCTTTTGATTAATTCTCAAGCTGGATGCTCTGAAGTGTTGAAATTAGGTTTTCGGAGGCCCCATGTGCACCCCACTGGCGTTTTCAATTTTTCCGTCTGGCCTAACAACAATACCGCAGGAGAGCACGGACGTGGAAGGTCAAGACTGGAGGGAAAATGTAAAACTGTTACCACAAGGCTGAGCCTGTGTGTAAGAAGGAGAAGCTCATCTTTTTAGGAAATGTAAAAGTTTTGTTTCCACTACAGCAGTGGGATTGCCCCATCAAACCAGTTCCTATTCCTCTCCCGTTATTAACATATTAAACACGCTTACAGAAAACTGAAAGAAATCGATAACAATAAAGTCAAGCATGAAGACAAATACAATTATCCTTTCATAAAAAAATTGAGTAACCTTAGCAATCCTAGTGGAAGCAAATGTTGGTTCAATCCCCAGCCCCTGCATTCCTTGGGCAACATTTTGAAACTCATTGCTCCCGAAGGAGCAAAATCAGGAAACGTGTAAATTTAAACAGCTGTTCATGAAAAGCGAGCAGACTGAAACGGTGTCTGTCATTCTGGGTTTATCGATCTCCACTTCATTTCAGTACTCAAGCTATAACGCCACGCTGTCCATTATTCTGAAACAACAGCTAAGCGATGGCATCATTTATTTAAGCCAATAGTTTTGTTGTTTTTACTAGTTTTCTATATTAAGCTTAAACAGAGGAGATCAGTGACCAAAAAATAAATAAATAATAATTCAACTATCAGTCAACAACTTGACCAATCACATTTGACTATATGTAACCACAGCCTAACTGCTATTTTCATCATCAATGAATCTGAAAACGATGTTCTTTTGTCAATTACATGTCGTTACAAAATGCTCATTACTGTGTCCCAGAGACCACGCTTGTATCCATCTTCAAATCAGAAAAAGAGGAAGTCCTCTGTAACCTGAAACCGGGTCAGGTTTGGCATTTCTAACTGAAATGATTAATCATTTATCAAAATAGTGGCCAATTAATTATCTGTCGATCGACTAATGAATTGCTGATTTAATCAACCGTTCCACTCGGCTCCAGGGAGCGCTTGATTTAATGCACCAGAGCAGCCACCTCAAATGTAAAGCATCAGCATCACACCTAACCACGTTTAATTAACTGTAGAAGCTAGAAGTGTGATTGTTATATGATTAACTATGCAGCGCTACTGTAAACTTAAATCACAGTTGTAGACACATTCAAAGGAGCTGTATAAATTACTCTTAGGTCATTTGGATTCATTATGAAGATTAAGCGACTAATTAGTCATTCTAGATACAATCAAATGCATAGTCGGCGATGTATGATGATGTTAATGTCATGTTGACACACGACTAAGCAAAGGGAAGCTGTTGTTACTGCATATTTATTTAAATCTTTATCCTTGCCACCATTGATGCATTTAAAACTCCATCTGAATATTGCCATAACCTGCAGGAATACATGCAGGAATATCACATCATATATTGGTCATTTGACTCTAACAGCTCAGGTAGTTTGTAACAACATGACCAAGAGACTGACCAGTTTATTTACTCTCAAATCTATCTGTAACTCATGCAGAGGTCGTCGACGCTTTCTTATTCATCATTTATTCACTGTTTTCATTTAATAACTCTCAGGCCTTCATGTGAAGGAGGATTTCAAAGTATGGCCAGTATAAAGAGTATCAAACAGCGAGTCCGCCTGCACACAAAGATAAAGATGTCTTATGGTTGTCAATATGTCACCTCTTCCATACAACGTCTAGGTTAACCTTTAACCTGTGATCATACCCACGTTACTTAGATCGTTTCTTTGTGTGTAAATATGATCTAAACATTAATACCTATCTCCATCAAAAATAATCATTCAAAGACATCTTGTATAGAGCATTGTGGAGCATGTTATTGAATCACCAATGATTTCTATTAGAGGCCTTGAGTTTCAGTGTTGTCACTAAATGAAGCTTCATGTGTGTGCAAAACATGCTGACCCTTTGCTTTTACGTTCCCGATGACTCGCATGTTTTAGCAATTTATCATCTATTAATTTACTCAATTAATAAGTAATTTAGTCTCTATAATGTTTGAAACGAATATGAGAATATGATGTTTTTTTTAAAAGGCTTTTGTGGCTATATTATGTCATTTATAAATCATCATCTGCTTCACCTCTGACAGGTATAGTGTCACATAACTAAAACCTATGCAAAGGTGAAGTTATGCTTTCTGGGCTTTTTAGTATGAAGTTTTGTATTAAATTTATAGGACAATAGACGATACAAAAGTTTTGGACAATAACACGCCTTAATAATCAGGCAGTATTGTTGTCTCCGTTGTTCTCGTGTATTTAGGGAGATTACATTGTCATTTTGTTTCTCACGTGACAAGAACAAGATGATTTATGAATGCATGATCACCATCAGCAGACAGCAATGTATTTCCCCTCACGTCTTGTTTTGATGTTTGTGTGATATTTGAGTGACCTTTCTGTCCCTCTGTGTCACGCAGGAGAGGAGCGACGTCCTGCAGCTGCAAGGAAGTTTGTTACTCTTTGTTCCTTGTTGAACAAACACTGAACTGAAGACCTCCACTCCTCAACGTCACACGTCTCCGCTCTTCACCCTCGCCGCCGCCCGTCAAAAGCCCGTCGACAGCGTTGCCTGACCGCACCTGGGCAGAGACATGTGTGTGCGCATGTGTCCTCGGATGCATGACTGTGTCTAAGAGTGTTTGGGCTGAAGTAAGAGGTTGCAGGCTGCACTTCCTCTCTCACCCTCTGAGAGACGCTTCTCCACTTCACTGACTACATTTGTCTCCACAACTGCAAAGCATTATGGGTAGGAAAAAGATTCAGATCCAACGGATCACCGATGAAAGGAACAAGCAGGTGAGCAGTTTTCATCTGTTTTTATAATAATAATTGATTATTATGATGAGTATTCTTAATACAGTTTATACTTTGCTTTCATCCTCCATACCTTTTTGGTACCTGCTATAATATGTCTGTAGTATAGAAAACTTCAAAGCACCACAGGTTGGTATTAAATGTCTGATCAGATTTATAATCTTGTATATTTAGCTTATTATTAAAGTTTGAGACTGTATTCTGTTTAAATGCAGCAGTAATCCCGATAGCATTTTTGTTTAGTAAAATACCAGTTACTATGTTCTTAATACTTAATAATACTTGATTGTATTGATTGAATCAGAGTAGTAGACTCTTCAATTACAAAATTGAGTGATCAGTTAAAAATTCAGTTATTTTAGAGACTAAGATATTATTTTTTATATAATACTGTAGTTGTACATTACATTTCAAGACATTTTCGTAATTTACTTTTGAGGGCCTCTAAAACCTTTTAATCCTCAGGCAGTGTGAAATGTTATTTAAATTCAAGACCATTTTTAAGCAGTTACCATTAAGATATATATTTTTTTAAAATGCGTTCTTCATAATCAGAAAAAGTCTCAGAGATAAAAAAAAAAAAACAAGTTATGTTTACTGATGTCAAACTGTGTGCTTATGGTACTGATGCTTTTGTTGTCCTTCACTACCAGTACAAGGCGCCAGGTAGATTTTTATATTTTTAGGGGAACTCGGCTGTCTAGAAGTCATTCACAGGTTATTTTCTGTAGCTGCTTTATTGTTGATTTGGCTTCATCCTTGCGTCATTGTCCCAATCAATTATACACATTGTTACAGTGAAAGGTCTCAAAAACTCTACAGCCAGCTGTCCTCAAGAATTTTGCCTCTTTCAGCTCCATTTGTTTTCTCCTCACAAGACTGCCACCCCTCTTCAGGTTTCCTCCCTGACCAACGTCTTTCTTGTTTTCTCAGTCGGATGCGTAGTTGCACAAAAATGTTAATTTGGTATTTTTAGGGTTCTTTCCCAGCGTAATCATTTTTTTTAGTGAACCACTTTGTCACATCTCTGACTTTAAACTCTGCAGACAGAAACTGTTTGCACAGTGAATACTGAACATTTTTCACTATGAATTGCATTGATGCATATGACTGGTTGTAAGTATCAAAACCTATGATAAAAAACAATTAGAGACAGGTCCACAAAAAAAGGATGCTTCATTATTGATGCTGAAAATGACTCCAACGCGTTCCAGTAATTGTTCTGACAGACAGAGCACCAAAATACTATTCGTTAGATATGTCCCTGATGTGTCTGCCAGTAATGTGACTGCATATCTTTCCTTCATTACTAGGCACATGAAAGTTTATTCTCAAGTCATCAGTTTTGATTTGCATGTCTAAACCTCTTTATGTGTGAATCAAGACCTAAAAATAATAATATATCTGAATTTCTGTCCTTCTGTGAGTCTTCTGAGCTTTTAATAAAGGGTGTGTTCTCACATATCTCTTGTTTTTTTTTTCCCCACCTTCTGCCCCGTTTCCCTCATCCCCAACTTCTGCGTCTTTCTCTCAGGTGACTTTCACAAAGCGAAAGTTTGGCTTGATGAAGAAAGCCTACGAGCTGAGTGTATTGTGTGACTGCGAAATTGCTCTGATCATCTTCAACCATGCAAACAAGCTGTTCCAGTATGCCAGTACTGACATGGACAAGGTCCTGCTCAAATACACAGAGTACAACGAGCCTCATGAGAGCCGGACCAATGCAGATATTATTGAGGTATGTCCATCATATCATCAGCGTTTGTGAACAAGTGAGCCAGCTAAGATTGACAGTTACCATTGCTTAAGTTTTAGGTAATCTTGTAACATGTATTATTACTGGGAGACTTTACCCTTAAACAGAGATAAGATGCCAGTAAGTATTTGTCAACGTTAACGGCTTTCTCTTAAGATTGGGAGCCAGAGAATCAAGTAGAACTTAACTGGTTGATTAATAAAGCTCCTTAGTGCCACACACCTTGTAGCCTTTACACAGGAACAAACAAACAGCATGAGCTTGAAAACGCACGTAATCTGGTACAATTGTGACCCCCCCCCTTTTGTACAAGTGATTGATTCAGATATTTCAGGACCAAGAGATATGAGGATGCAAGTAGTCACCATTTAGCTGGGTTTTGTCTCAGCCCTCAAATGGTGTGGTGATGTGTCGGATACATATATAATTGACATTTAGATAAATGTAAGTGTCAGATCTGATGCGGTATTGGAGATACCGGATTGGGTTTGGGGACAAAAGAAACTTCATTGGGTCAACCCTAGTTTCGAGCAACTAAACTGACCGATGTAATACGACTCACTTCTTTTTACTTTCATAGACTTTGAGAAAGAAAGGCTTCAACGGTTGTGATAGTCCAGAGCCGGATGGTGAAGACTCCATTGACCAAAGTCCCCTAAATGATGACAAGTACCGTAAGACCACAGAGGATCTGGATGTTCTCTTCAAGCGCTACGGAGTAAGTGATCGAGTATATTGTAATTACTGTTGGTCTGCTTCTTTCTTCACTGTAACCTTGTTGGCCAGGCATTTGTTGTTATTCGTTGTTTGGCTTGAGTGCCTACAGGAAACAGCTACTGGGCTGAAGTTCCTCTAACTGGTTGTTTCACTTTGCAGAAGAAGATAACAAAGGAAATAACAGATACATGAACAGCTTTTTGGCCACTATCACACCTGACCAAAGTTCTTAAAGTAAATATTCAGCAGTTAGTTAGACAAAATTTTATTTCACTGAATTCCAAACCCACCAATATTCTTGACACATCAAAGCGTTTTATTTCAGCCTCAAGCGCAGCGGTTTGCTCTTTTAATCCGCACAGTTTGTAAGACTTTCTGGTTGCGATGTTGATAATTGTCTGTCTGTTGGAGCGTTTACCGACAGTAAGAATTCTGACCAATTAATGGTATTGGTTAAACATTAAAAAAAATATTTTCCTTCACTTTATTCAGCAAGTGACAAGCTTGGCTTGGGTCTTGAGGAGTTGTAGGCTATCGGTCAGAAAAACTGTATGCTGATGATACTTACCTGTATTTCTCACTTAAGCCAAACTGCCCCAGTGGCATTAAATCATTGCTGCACTTTATGTCAAGAACCAACTTCAACTTACAGGCAGAATGAGTAGGATTTGTCCTTTGTGGTTTGTAAACATTTAAATTTGGCCCCTCCTTCTTACACGTCTAGCTAGCTAACGGGCATTGTGTTTGTGTCCAGACTGGAGAATTTCTATGAGCTTCCGACAGACGACACAGATTAGGGTACCGGGATAGAACGGAGCCCAGGGGAGAAGAGGCTGAGGAGTGACAGCTGGAAGCAGAGGCAGAGTGAGGGGCACAGAAACACAGCGAAAAGAAGAGAAAAGAGTAAATAGGCAGAGGAAAGGGTCATCAATTATGATTGAGAGGGATTGTTTTTAAGTAAAATCCTTCTCAATGTGCTTTTAATGTGACTTTTATCTTTACATATTTTACATGAAATAAGGTGTCACTTGGTCCTTCACGTCTATAAATCATGAATTTTACAGTTGGAGAAATAAAGTAATGTGGATTTGGTGATCAAACACCTTTTAGGCTTAACTGTCCAGTGGAATCCATTCTGAAATGTGCATTGCTCACTTTTTGATTAGCGCCCAACGAATGATCGTCCTGGATGATATTAGCTTCTTAAAACTATGTTCTCTCACCAGAGAGGTAAGTAGTTGATGCACATTAAAGACTAAGACTCTCTCCTCCCTCTTTGCAGCAGTCGACGGCTCCTTCCCAGACCTTCTCGATGCCGGTCACAGTCCAGGCGTCTAATCAAAGCACATTGCAGTTCAGTAACCCTGGCAATGCACTGGTAACTACCTCCTATGTAACATCATCATCGCTCACGGATACCCACCTCCTGTCGCCACAGCAACCGGCTCTTCAGAGAAATACGGTGTCTCCCGGGTTGCCACAGCGACCAGCCAGTGCAGGTGAGCGAGTAATACTAGACTTAAAAAAAAACACGATCAATGAGCCTCTTCCTTTTAGTGAGAGATGACATGAAGTACTAAGGAATACTTCTTAAGTAGTATTTATATTTCTCTACTCCTTCACATTGTATTATTATCAGTTTTATTTGTTTCATAGACCTTCAGCGGTTAGTGTCTGTACTTCCTAATCATTAAATGTAAAGAGCTGATTAGTGGATTAGGGAGGTGTGCACATCACTCTGCACTGGACTAATCTGCATTGTGTGACATTTGCTGCTCTCCTCCAACTGGGATGCTTTTTATAGCCTTTAAATTATTAGTTAATATCTGTATCAACCAAATATTAAGCATTGAAGATCTAAAGTTAATACGTGTGCGTCCCAATGCACCTGAAGCTGTTTGGTAACTGCCGGAAATGCCACAAGAAAAAGAGCTTCTGCGTTTAAGCATTTTAGTTACAACTTTAACAGTTCAGCAGCATTAGTTTACAACTATTCATAGCCTAACAAACAAATCACAATGAATTGCATTTATGAACTTCTGGCGCGTGTTATTATGTTGTTGTCTTCACGTCTTGGATGCACGTAACCTTTTTGAGATTGGGTAGCTATATATTTTGCACAACACCAATGAAGTGATAAAATGTGTTTCTTTTTTTGGATTATAATTTAAGATTAAAAGGTTCACAATATGCAGTGAAATGCAGGGTGGCAAACTCTAATAGTCGTCTGTAGTAAAAAGGCTAATGTGCAACAAATAATTGGAATTAAAAGTGTAAAATAAAAACTACAAAAAATATATAAAGGATGCAAAAATAAAGTTTTAAATATTATGTTTTTAAACGGATTAAGTGTATATTAGCCCGGTGTGTATGTGGGCACCTTCTTCAGTGTATAAAAATGTACAAATTTTTACAAATTATTATGGATTTGCGTTGACAATTTGTAATAAATTGTTTAGAATTTGTTGCGATTGAAAGCTCATTGTTGACCTTAGAAACAGACGTTTTTGATTGTTTTGGAAATTATCTTCTCAGAATTGCAGCTTGTCGTATGGCAATACAAGTCCCAATACGTTGTTATCAAATGATAAAAGTTTGCACAGTGAATTTCTATATATCAGAAAGTTTGAAAAAGTTGTATTGGTTTTCAGTTCACATCGTTTTTGTCCTTTTTCAATAGGTGCTCTTCTTGGAGGCGAGCTGAATAATTCAAATGGAGGATGCCCAAGTCCAGTCCGTGAGTAATCTGCTACTGTATCTGTTCAGATTCTGAGTTTTATTGTTAAGTTATTTCTTCTTTTCTTTATCGCCAAGAGTTCCTCTGGTATCTGGCCTGTATTTGAGTATTTATCCTAAATCTCACAACCGCAGCGATGGCGTTGTTTTTCAAAGGCTAAACGCCAACAAATATGGATTGAAGTTATCAACAACTTTATACGCTATCTCTGCAGTCCATCGGAGTTGTGTATTCTCAGCTTGGGTCTCAAAAACAATAGACAAGCTGTCTGTTGTGTTGGTTATTTTTTAATGGGTCATGTTAACACGGGTTTGCTTTCAAATCAGAAAAAAAAAATCTAAATTATCATCCTTGCCCAACAATGTCGACGGTCTCGTCTTCCCTCATCAGGACATAATGGAAAGAGATTTTGCAATATTTTCTCCATTTACATTGTTACGATTTAGTCATGAAATAAAAGAACATCAACGAAAATCGCTAACATTTCTGTTCACAAAATGAACACTTCCCAAAGTTCCTCCTTTCCTCTCCTCCTCTGCACCATCTGTGACGGTGCCTTGGAGGGATCAGGGGAGGCCACCAGTAACATCAAAAGGCACGCTTGGGATTCCCGGCAGCTCACTCTTTAAAAACATTTTAGCACCTTATAGCCCAGTAAAATGTTCAAGAATGCTAAAATGTTTCTGATATTTAATGCAAAAATAAAATGTTGGCTCCCAAATCATATTTTTTATTAAAGAAGATTTTAGTAGAAGGAATGAATGTGTCGCGACATAATGTCCAATAATCACCAGCACAGAAAGATTCTGAATCATATTTTAGCTGTTGTCAGATTAGAGTTTATTCTCCAGATGAAGTGATGTGATTGTAGAGGATTATTTTAACACAGTTTCCCTACCCCGCTGTCTGAATTCACCTGTTTGATTTTCCTATTGATGTGCTTCTCTTCCTCCCTGCAGCTAATGGATACACCAGTGCCAGGGCCTCCCCTGGCCTTCTCACCGTTTCCAACGGCAACAGTCTGGGGAAAGTAGTTCCGGCCAAGTCTCCACCCCCACCTCCCAGCCCCCAGATGGTCAACAGCCGCAAGCCAGACCTCAGAGTCATCACCTCACAGGGCGGAAAGAGCCTCATGCAGATGGTGAGCCTAACCACGCAGAGCTTGTGCTGCCTGGGTCCTTGTAGTTAACATGTTGAACCTTACACAATGATCAATGATCATACCTTTTGTTAACACACTTAGTCACTCGTGATGACAAAAAGAGAGGACTTACAAACAATAAGAAAACCAAGACACCTGGAACCCGGAGGATTTGTTAATAAGGGACATAAGAGGATATAAATTATTTTCATTTGATCTCAGATAATTACACCTTTACTGGCCAATGAATGAGATGAATATTGGGAATTGACATATTTGTGTTAACTTATATTGGTTGTATAGAAGGTAAACGGGCTGGTAGAGGCCGCTTTCCATCATTATTGTGTTGTTCGTGAAGACCAGAGAGCAGAGATTTGTGCTCTTCACTCTACGTTCAGCATCTCATCATTATCTCTGGTAAAGTTCGTAAAGTCTCAGATGAGATCAACTCCCTCTGACATACTGATGAGATTTCTCATAATCTTTCTAACTAAATATGCACCCATGTCAACTTATAGCTTTTAAAAAAGAACTAGTCCTTTTAATAGCTGTTCTGGAGCTTTTGATTATATCACACAATCTTCCTAAACTGTTGCCATCTATATATATCTCTATCTATCTATATCTATATATATATATATCTATATATCTATCTATATCTATATATATATAGATATAGATATAGATATCTATATCTATCTATCTATCTATCTATCTATCTATCTATCTATCTATCTATATATATCTCTCAATAGGCATCTGTTTGCCAAAACGGTCACCTTATCAACACTAAAAAGAACATATGTCAGTGTTGTGTTACCAAAAAACCCCAAACAACACATATTGCAGGTCTAAGGATTTGTTCATGTCGGCTTAAAAGTTGAAATTGATCATTTCCATCTGAGAAGGTGATCAAAAGCTGCAGAACTGCTACTAAATGGACCTTGTGGTCAGATTGTTTTGTCAACTATTTAATTTGTGCTGTCCCAGAGTGATGGCACCTTCTGTGATTTCAGGTCCCATGCATTTAGTGTAACAATTAGCATAAGTTGATTTATTTCATAGATAACTTAGTATGCCAAACTACAGTATTTCTAAATGTATTTTTTTTTTAATTTACTTTTAGTTACTAATATGATCTGTTACCACCCTTTGCAGACAGAGGATGAGCTGGAATTGGTAAACGAGGTGATTTTTTTTTTTTTTCCCCCCACGTCAGTCACTCGCATGAGTCGATGGCTATCGACTGACCGCACTTTATTAGCATGGTTACAATACTGTACAAGAGTTTCTCATTGTTTTGGTCTTGCTCCACTGACATTTATTGGGATGGTATTCAGCTTGCGGCTCCCACCCGACTGCATGTTATTCAGGGCTCGTGGTTGTGTTGTTAGGATCATGATGCGATCGCGATGATAAATAGCCCTCGGTAATCAGTGCTTGAGTGGTCTTTAAGTGATCCAGTCAGACTTGAATCAGGCCCATTACCTCATCATGTGATACCACATAAAGCATGGGTGTTTCTCCACTTGGTGGTGCGAGGCAACGCGGAGCATGTTCCTCGTTCACTGACACTCATTTTCACCTTTCACCAAAATTGTCAGTTAGAGATGTTAACTAACTGGCATTATATTAAAGGAATTGGACTCTAATGTTTCCCCCAGTCACATATTTAATATGAAGCTCCAAAGCACCTTCAGCAAAACTTAATTAATCACTAGTGGAAATTGTTAGTTACACCCCTACAGATGATACTAAAATATCATCAAGAGCAATAGATTATTATATACACAGATGTAATTTTTAAGAAGTGCATTGGAAAGGCTACAACGTACTGATTGAGAAAGCGTGTTATACTTTATGACCACGTTGTAATTTAGAGCTGAATAGAGACAGGTGGCTGCTGCTCTTTTTACAATTCCACTCAAAGTTGATGGGCAAGAATCACATTTTTCAGAGCATAGCGCTTCATTTCCGTCACTCTCACCCTGCCCCCTCCTTACTTCTTCACAAAGGCAGTTAATTGAACCCCCCCCCCCCCCCTCAGTTCAGGATGATCTGCATTCACAAGGTCTTACATTTCAGAAGAGTACTTTCAGATTGGAATTATTGCATCTTTGGGTTTTTGTTTGCAGGACCTCCTATTTTTCACTCTTACACCTCAGTTCTGGGTTTATCTGATAGAGTTCATCTTAACCAGAGTATCTTCAGCAGAGGTACATGATGATAAAACCTTATGGTTGCAGCTTCACAGATTTGGCAGCATGTCTGTTGCACCCATGTTGGAGAAACACTGGATATTTTGTCATCTAAATGACTGACTTAATGTACAAACACTGTAGTAGTAGTAGGTTTGTGCCATGTTCTCTAAAATGAATGATTGAAACATAAAACAAATGGTTAACCTGAGTGCATCCCACCAGGCCTGCAGTGACATCCACTGGAGAAACGTGAGATGAGCTGCTCACTCAATTACACAGTTCGTTTGACTTTTAATTATGTCACAATAGTTGATGCTTTCCAGGATGACTCTACATACTCTATACTTTACTATTATACTTTTAAAATTCAATCTAAATAAATAGTATATAAAATACAGATTGTACTGTCTGCACATTATAGATGATAGTATTGGAGCTGAAATGATTAATCAATGAATCAATTACTCATTCTTCAGAAAATAAATATGAAAAAAAGAATAGTAGGGAAACAAAAACACCGGTTCCAGCTTCTTAGATTTGAATATTTGTTGGTTTTGTTGTTCTACTGTGATGGTAAACTAAATATATCTATATGTTTCAGACAAAACAAGGAACTTGCATAAGTCAACTTATCTTTCAGGACCTCAGGCGTTTTACTATTAACTGACGTTCCATAGAGGAAGCAATTGATTAAGTAATGAATTGGGGGGGGAAAGGGCGGATTCATTGGTAATACATTTCTTTGTTTTTGGCATCTATCATTTTGGCAGAAATGATAGATTTTGTTAAAATCAATCCAATGTGACAATTTCTTTAATTACCTAATTTTAGGTCTTGTATTGATTTAAAAAAATGAAGTTATGGGTCGCCCTGGTAGCCTTAGTGTTGAGCATTGACTATGAACTGCAATGGTCTCTGGTTAGTGTCTCTCTCCCCTCCTGTCATCTCTCTCTGTCACTATCTAATTAAGACATAATCCTTAACAAAATTCCAGTAAGCGTATCTGATGGTTGAATCAACTGCCTTTAATGTAATATGTCTATGGCCCACTCAAAACAAGGAACTCATTTTTGACGCATGACATCACGAACCTCCTGATGGTAAATCCACTTGACTTTGAGGTTTACTTGACTCGATCCATCATTTTGAATTCAGCCATATGCACATTGTCATTCCCAGCATGTCGGAACGGACGTTGTCGAAATAAGTCGATTAGCTCCACGCCGCATGTGAAAATAGTTTCTGCAGTGACTAACATGTCTGCGTCCTCTTCCGGCAGAACGCCCAGCGGCTGGCGGCAGGAGCCCAGGTGGCACAAAGCCTCACCACGCCGGTTGTCTCTGTGGCCACGCCGAGCCTCCTGGCACAAGGGCTGCCCTTCTCCGCCATGACCACAGCGTACAACACAGGTGAACTGAGCACACCGGAGCAAAGATATCCTTTTAAACACTAGTTGGTTTTACCGCAAAGAAAGTCAAAACCAGTTCAAAACTGAAAGAATAAAAAAATGTATCCCAGAGAATTAAATTAAGAAAATGTGAGCTTTACGTTGGGACTTTTTTTTATCCTTCGTTCTCTCTCAGAGTACCAGCTGACCAGTGCAGACATCACTGCGTTACACGCTCTGGCGTCACCTGGCGGCTTGTTGCCAACCACATGGCAACAGCAGGCTGTTTCCCAGCAACAACAACAACAACAACAACAACAACAACAGCAGCAGCAGCAGCAGCAGCAGCAGCAGCAGCAGCAGCAACAGCAGCAGCAACAACAACACCAACAACAACAACAACTTAATCTTGCATCACTCAGCAACTTGGTGTAAGTCTTTTCTTTATTTTCTCATTGGCGCTGCGTCTTTCTTTTAAATCTGGTTTCCTGAAAGCTCTTCCGTCACATCAGTGTCAGGGATGATGATGATGATGATGATGATGATGATGGAAGGCTGCTGTGAAAGCTCTCTGTCTGATGGCAACCCCCTGAACACTGAAATACTGTACAACTGACCTTACCAGTCACCAGTGAGCTTGCATGATATCCATACCATGACCTTTATATGCAAGCAGTTCATATTCCTCGTTAGTGAATTGGTCTCGCCAGCATCTCACCATCTCAGCCTCTTCATAACATCAATCTGAATATCTGGTATTCAGTTTTTCTGGAGTTGTTGCACTTCATCAGTGTGAAACAAGTTCACCTTCTCAAAGGTCCTTTATTCGTTACATACATTTGTAACTGCAGACTTTTTGAATTATTAGAATCTCAACGTCTTTTGGCAGTTGTGGGCAGTAAATTGTTACATTTACTTGAATAATTTCAACAAAAAACTGCTCAGAGTAGTTGTTTTGCAGAATACTTTTTACTCTTACTTGAGAATATTTGAGATAAAATATACGTACTTCTACTCACATGCACAACAGCGATTTTCAGACGGCGAGAGATGAGAGCCTGCCAGCCAATCATAGCACCACAGATGGAACGGAGGAATATTATTATAAAGTACTGTTTTTGTTTACTCAAACCACCACTGATTATTGGCTAATAACCCTTAATGGTTTTCAATCTGTCATCCCAAAAGTGGTACTTATTAATGGCTTTTATCTGATCTAGAAAGCAATAGTAACTAATGTATCAACCATTAATTAAGCCATTCCTTACTGTTTTATTTACATATATATATACTAGAGCTGGCCAATATAGTCTCAAATCAATATTTAAATGCACATGTTTTTTAACTTTCATCCAAAACTGATTTATTTATTTTTTGCCTGCTAACGTATATTTACATTTACTTTACAATTAAAAGAGACATTTTGGACTAAAGGACAGCAACATATACATATCTGGTGCATAGGCTTTATTTACAGTATATACAAAGGACTTCAGAGTTTAGACAGCAATGCACAGTTTAATGTTTTATCTCCTCATTCTTATCTAGAAGTGAAATTATATGTGAATTGGCAGATACTTTTTCTCCTTAAATATAAGGTTTCAAAGAAGACGACTGAGAAGCCTCTGCGTTAGATTAGAGAACTATTGAGGTGCAGCTGCAGCGTGAGGAGAGCTGCTCGAGTCGAATGCTGCAGGGTTCGTGTTGTGTCTTTGGTGGCGTGAGCCCCAGATCCTTGAAGTGTGTTCTCTCCTCTTGTCCACAGCATGTGGGGCGTGGACAAACACAGCAGCGAGCTGTCTAGCCAGGTGTCCAGTCTGGCTGCCAACCTGAGGTGAACAGCCACTACTAGTGTGTGCGTGTGTGACATGTCCAGACCTTGTCTGTAGTGGTGGGGGGAGGGGGGGGGGTTGTAGTCCACGTTGCTTTAGTCTAAAACAAAACCACATACAGTAAACGCTTCCTTAAAGGCAGCCATACATTCAAAACACTGGCTTTAAATATAAACTCTCTAAACCTAAAAATAAGAAAGATGTTATTAATTTAGTTGATGAATATTGGGAGAATATACATTATTAGTAAGAAACTTCAGGAACAAGCACACAGACTATAATATTGCTGAGTTATGATGTTAAACAGATCAACCACTTTACTTGAGTAAACAACCTAAAATGCAATACTCCGTCTTTGTAAATGCAGCTGCTGTATTTTACCAAATTACGTTTTACAAATAAGCACTTTATTCTAAGTTTATTATGTTAACGTTGATAGTTTAGATGCAGTTGTAAGGGTAGTAGATTTGAGTTAGTAATTCATCATGACATGAAACCTTGAATAATGATACTAACAGTGTTATTTGCTGATCTGAGCATAATCATTTGTAATTCAATCAGTAATACCTTTTACTTTTGACAAATAATCCTTAATTGAACCATGAAAAGTACATTATGCATTATTATAAGGTAGACAATGTTTTTGCATTTATTCTTGTATGCATTTTTGTTCTTAAGGACGTACAAACTCTGTAGTAGTAAACTTCAGAAACGCGTAACAGTCCCGATTAACACATTTATTCTATATTCTTCTTAAATGCTTCATTTACTGTGTTTGTAGATCAGAAAACAAGATTGTCATGCCTGGATTTGTTTGTGTGTGGGAACAAAAATTCAGCAGATTAGGGTCTTTGTTCTTCTGATTCTAAGACATTATTGCTGTTGTTGAAGAAACTTTGCTTGCAATAATGTTTCACACTTCTCTCCACACATGCCTTTGAATCCACCTCTAATCCACCACTTACCTTTGGTTTGGGCTCCAACGTTTTGTTTTTCCCCCCACAGTGTTGGCTCTCCGTCCAACCTGCTCTTGGGTAGAGATGAGTGGTTGGGCCGGTACTGTATCATCACTTCCTTTTTCCTGTGTGTCTGTGTGCTTTTGGCTGACTTCTCCTAAGCATGTCTGGTGCTGTCTGCAGTCAAACAGGAAATAAGACGTAGTTCCGGTTTCCACCATGTTCTCTAACCCGAGATTATTTTTTGTTTGTCATCTGTAGTTTCTTCACATCATAGCTGACTCACTGCGAACCACCTTGTCACACAAATCATTTTCATGCTTCCTGGGCTGATGTGTTGATCCTTTGGGAGCAGTGGGAGGGTTACTTCTGCTTTGAAGGCTCAATATATTGGATTATTGAATAATCGAATGTGGCTTTGCCCTGTTGGTGCTGTGCCTTGTAACGTGGGTCTTTTGTCTTGCTACAAGTGAACTTCCAGTTTCTCACATGCCTTTTGTCAAGAAGCTAATCATATGTATGTTTTGTTTTCTCGCCTTTCCTCTTTGTTCCGTCCCTTATCTTCCATTGTCTTCCTCTCTCTCTCCATCCTCTGTGACCCTGTTCTCAGGCCTGTGACCCATATACCTCAAGGCGCCATGCTGACCGTCAACACAAACTCCAGTGTCAGCATCAAGTCGGAGCCCATCTCGCCCGGCAGGGATCGCAGCACCCCATGCCCTCCACCATCTTCTACCACGCCGTCCTCGACCTCAGGGGGAGCCATCTTGACTGCGCCGCCACAGTACCCTGGCTCCCTGCTGTGCCTGGAGCCCCCGACTGGCCGCTCGCCCGCAGACAGCGTCAGCAGCAATGCCAGCTCCTTTGAAGGCAGCGATCGTGATGACACCGGTGCAGCCGGTGGCGGCGGTGGGGGCGGTGGGGGCGGTGGCGATGGTGGCGATGATGGCGGCGGCAGCGCAGCAGGTGCTGGAGGAAGAGTCGGTCCCGGCAGCCGCCCTGACTTCAGCCCCTCGGCCGAGCTCCTCAGGACGTCGAACGAACCAGAGCAGGAGGGAGGAAACCTCAAGCGCATGAGATTGGATACCTGGGTCACATAGAGCTGCGTGCCACACCTCTTTGCACCCACAACATACACACTCATTCTTTAACCCCCACTGCCATGTGACACTATCATCACACATCTGCCTCTGTCCCACATTATAAAACTCAGCTGCGTCACCCAGACTTATGAGGCTTTGCCAAATATACATTAAAGAAAAAAAAAATAGATATAAATATCCTTTGGGGTTCACGCTCTGAGTGAGGAGAGGATGACTTAGTGCTCAGCTGGATATTGTGGTCCCGTGGAGATCTTTCAATTGAAGGACAGTAGATTTTTAAAGCCTTCTTGGTTGAATGAACACCCGTAAAGTAATTTCTTTTGATAGAAATGAGGTGTTGAACCTTTTTTTTTTTTTTTTTTCCAATCTGACAAAACCATTGAATACATTTATCTTTCACATGGTTTCACCTTCATGTATTTACATCGAGCTCTGCTGCATCGTTCACAATGTGAGTAGTGGCTTATCCACATCATGGGAATTGTATGACTCACCACTTCCTGCTTTTAGAAATCCAACATAGCTTGGATCGTGTGCTCCCCATTCTTCCAGAAGTCACTTCCAAAATGCACTTTTGGATAGAACTTAATCTAGACAAGTTTGAGGACTGAGCATCTATCTGGCACTGAGCAAACCGACTCAAACAGGGTCTTCTAGGTTAAGATACTTAACCATCAATGGTTCTTTCCGCTGCCACATTTCCCAAACCTCGTACACCCAGGCAGGCCTGAGCGGCCTGCCTGGGAGCTGAGCACCTTGCTAGAGTGCCAATATCAACCTCTACCACAACAAATAAAATGCCAAATGTCTCTCCCACACAGTACGTGGACAATGACGAATTATCTCTTGCACTGTCACGGAAAGGATAACTAGAAACTGTTGATGCTTTTCAAGCTTTGAATTTGCCGTCACTCTCCTCAGACGGGGTGCTCCTCCCGTCCACTCACCTCATCTCCTCTGGAACTTGGATGGAAATTGTTGCACCAGAAATCCAGCCAGCCACTCAGCTTATTACCAGGAGTTGATGCCATCCAGTTCAATGCATAGTATGAGTTTTTTTGAGCCGCTCGGGTGGCTTTTTTTGCGGTAGGGAAAGTATTTGGTTCTTTCAGTCCAATTGTTCTTTATCTGTTGGTATTTAAAAAATTTAAAAAAAAATCAGTTTTGAAGGTCTGTTGGTTGTCCAGAATTAGGAATTCTGAACTTTGTATAAAAATCCCTCCTATACAAAAGCTTTTATGTCCTCTTAAGCTCTCTCTAGCTCTCCTTAGCTCTTTGCCGTGTTTCAAAAAGGAAAAGGAAAAAGACATTTTCTATATTTCTACCGCTTCAGTTGGCGACAAAGTAAAATAGCTTTTCAGCTTCAACGACGTGTATGTACATATGACTATATTTGCATAGACTTTGCTAGGTATCCCTAAAAACAAGCAATGTGTTGATTCTCAGTGGATCTGTTCGCATATACGAGTGTGAATTTGATATGTTTCGAAGCTACGGTGCAGGAGTTTCGCCACACTAGGTCGTGCTGGTGGATCGGACTTGTTTCACCTATTTTATGCTAGTGTTGATGGTGTGCGCACTTTTTGTCTCACTCACAGAGGCCTGCTTGATTGTGGTGTCATCATATTCTCCTACCACACATTTTTTTTTTAAAAACCCAAATCAAACCCACAATAGAATTGTCCATTACCACCTAATTATGAAACGATTAGGACACTGCCATTCACTTAGTGTTTTTAAGAAATAAAATGCACATCTTTGATGTGTATTTTGATTCACAGAATCTTTTCCACATTAAGCTTACACAGATTATGCCTTTTTTCACTTAGAAATGAAGTGCTGTGTTTGTTGTTTAATGGTATGTTTTCTAGTGCGAATTTGTTTAGTCTGAACCATTTCAAGTTGGTGTATAAGTGTACAAAGGCTGTTTATAGCCTAGAAATAGAAAGATTCTCCCGATTGCTTGACCTTTTTTCCCTTGAGACGATGCTCAAAGTGCAGACTGGCATGTCAGCTGTTTGTTGACTGTTAATTATCTAAAACAATCTTACACTTTTATATCGGTGTAGGGGAAGTGGACACGAATTCATGAATTGATGGTTTGGTGTGATTAGTAGCAGAGTGTGACACTAGTGTTTGACACTGACTTTGGGTTTGTGGCAAGTATCCGGAAAAAACATCACCCTGCTGTGCGACATTTTTACGCCAGTGTTGTTGTTTTCCATGATCAGGTAATTTTTCCATCCGTCATTCGACAGTGTGTTGGGTAGCTCTTTACTCTGCTAATTTCAGGTTATTTTTTTTTTATTTTCTTCAGATAATCTTCAATTTTACATCCAACACTTTCGAAAAACTCATGTTGGTGAAAATTTGCCTCTTAAACCGTTAAAGGGAGTTTTTCTACATTTTGTGAAACTCGTTTCGTCGCTTTCTTACAGATAGTTAGATGAGAAGATTGATACTCACTCAATAATATTTGTGCAGTAAATATGAAGCTAGAGCTGGTTAGTTACACGTGCTAACAGCTAGCCTGGCTGTGTACGAAGGTAACAAAACTCGCCTTCTAGCGCCTCTAATGCCGCCTTTATTTCATACCACTTAAACAGGGATTATGAACAATTTTCATCCAAATTTCGCCAAAGACTAATGACTTGAAAAAAAATATGTGAATTTGCATTTCCAAGCACCTACCGCACGGCGTTTCCCCCTTTTCCAGTCCTTATGCTAAGCTAAGGTAATCGGCTGTGACTCTCCATTTAACAGATGAATATAAGTGGTATCAAACTTCTCATCTAAGTACATTTCCCAAAATGTGGAACAATTTCTTTGAACTGATGAGTGGTACCACCCTTCAGGCAGAGAGATCAGTCATTTCCATTTATATATCAACTCAGTTTTAGTGGAAACTTTGTGTTTGTGGGCGCTGATGGTGGACTGAAATGTGACACCACACCGATTGGCTTCCTGCCTCGTGCAGGTTTGTTCATGTACAAAAAGGTTCTCTGTCTTGTGACTAAACAGCTAGATTGGACAATCTATAAGAGAAATGAAAACCTGCACCCTTGTTACTTGTTGTGTAAAATGTTTTCTAGACTCTCACTATTTTTGGATTAATTTGTGCTGGTGACATTTCCATTGTCTATTATTATGATATTATTATGGAGCTATTATTTTATTGCTATTTTGTGTAGGATAGTTTTTATTTTCTCCTATCATAAACATAGTACTGGTTTCCTTTTTTTTTTAAACAACTTGCTGAAAATTGCACGATCGGTTATTGTGGTATTAGCAAATGCAATGAAGGAAATACCAGTTAAATGCTGCAGTTTTAATTAAGATAAAGAATATATTTATAAAAATGGGAAACAACTGAAATTAGTAGTTCATGAAATTTGAAAAAAAAAAAAAGTAAATGCATGGGATACAGGTAACAAAACTTATGTTACGCACAGTAATGATACAGGACATGCATCACAAATGAGTTATAAAACAACTCAGAATAATGTAGCATATGAAATACTAAAGATGAAATTTATAGCTAATATATTGTGTTGAGCTAGTCTGCTTTTGGTTTTTGTTGTAAAGAAAATAATTCTTTGTTTTTTGAGAATGATTTACAATTTGTGTATATTTTCATATACAAAGTATGCACTGATATGTTATTGAAATTCTATACCGCTTTTACAAAAAAAAGTGTTTGTTGTACCAAAGTATCCAAGTCCCTTGAAACCTTCCCCTTTTTGCGTATGTTTTACCGTATTTTATATATTAAATAGACAAACTGAGTGAAATGAATTGGAGTTTGTGGTTTTATTTTAATGTTTACTATATATCAAACCCAAAAGTGCCTCTAAAATATTTCATAAAGACTAAAGTCTTCAATCAGGAACGTTTGGTGTAAATAAATTATCCAGAAATCTTTCTAATTTGAACAAAGATGTAGTTTCAGAGGCGCATGAGATTTTCTTTTTCCTTTTCAGTATAGCATCTGTTGTTTTTTTTTTCTCTTCATCCTCAGCTCATTGTCACAGTTACAAACATGTTGCAATGAAGCTTCATTTCACACATTCAGTGATAACTACACGGCTTAAATTAGCTGATCTCGCATTACCTCCTGCGAGGTAAACCGCAACTGTTTGAGCAAGGCAATAACAAAGTACACACTGAGAGATAACAATAGTTTAACGCTAGAGCAATCTGTGGAGGTCTTCTTTTGTAGCTTTCAATTAAATGTGTGTGCTCAGACCCTGTACTTAAGTAAAAGTGTCAACACTACACTGCAAACAATATTGGATAACTAGGAAAAGTGCATAAAAAAAAAAGTAAAAATTTACCAATGGACGAATAAATAAAGACAATTGACCCCTGAGAGTGTTTTAAGATAATACATACTATATTACAGACCTGAAATGATTAGTCCGTAGTTAATTGGCAACTATTTTAAAAATGTGTTATTTGTTTAAGTCATTTTTATGCCTTTGCATCGGCGACGGTCGAGGACGGAGGCGTTAGGTTTTCGAGTTTTCCATCCGTGATATACCAGCAACACCAAGAGAGAACATCTTTGAATTTGGTCCAAATGTCCACTTGGACTCAAAAAGTCAAGGTCATTGTGACCTCTAAAAATAGATTTTTAGCCATAATTCTGTTTCCGACATGCTATACTATGACTGTTTTTGACTTTTTTCGACATGCTATACTATGACCGTTTTTGACTTTTTTCGACATGCTATGACCGTTAAAAAAGGTCATAGTAAGGCCTTACAACTCTACAATAAAAAAGGCATAAAAATATCATAAATGTACCCTAGAATAGAATGACGTAAAAATGTAATAGTATAGTATGCCATAAGAATGTCATAAACATGTCATAGTATAGAATGCCAATAATATGTCAGTATTGTATGCGTTGAATGTCATAGTATGTATTCAAATTAAATGTCGTAAGAAAAGTATAGTATACCAATATTGTATGCCATAAAAATGGCATTAAAAAGTCATCGTATAGTATGCCATAAAAAAGTCATAAGAAAGGTCATAGCATATTATGTCAAGTGGCAGGGATCCCACAGAAGGTAGCAGTATTCACTGATGTTCTGATATATTTATTAGACGGAAAAATAATTCATAGTATTAATGGTACTGCTCGATGATTTTGGATAGCTATCAGGCTATAAAGGTTCTAATCGTGTTTTTAAAAGCATGGGATGGTCATATGTAAGAAAGTCAAACACGAAATTGCTGATAGATTGACATAGAAATACACACAGATATTGTTTTTCTTTGTCTGTGAACTTTGACTATTAAGCTGCAGTTTTTTTTCTTCACATCTGCAGTTGGCCCACATTTGTTGTTGTTCAGGTCTGGCTGCATTTTTCAGGTTTTGAATCTGGGCAATGACTATTTGGTCTTGTAGAAACTTGCCCTCTGAATCATAATCACAGAGGACCAACATTTATAACTTCAATAGTAGTGCTGGCCAAGTTAACGTGTTATTATCGCGTTAACGCAGGGGTCTCAAACTCATTTTCACTCCGGGCCGCATCACGGTCGCCCACAAAGGGCCGGTTGTAAATGTAACTACTCGTAACATATTGTTAAATAACTCTCTGCATTTGATGATTGTTTATTCAAGTGTAAAAATATTGTACATGCAGTTATATAAATGTAAAATATATTTAAGCACATTTGTTATAACTTAAATCCTTTTAATTTAGGGTTAAGAAACCCACATTACTCTATCAAAGATCAAACTATTAAAGAAAATAGCAAACAAGTTATTACAATAACTTTGTTCAAAGCTTAAAATCCTTTCAAGGGTGCGTTTGCACAATCCCATGTGAAGTATTTCATGTGTTTTAAAGCCAGTTTAAAGTAGTCTTCAATGTTCTCACAATACATTTCGATGTCAAATGTACAGTAACCAGCCAAAGAGCTGCTTCTGTGACTGTGTTTAAGTATTTCATAATTTTGACTTTCAATCTCATAACTTCGACTATGGGGATATTTTTATTATCAAGTCTAACTTTAAAACAAAAAATTGTATTTATTTATTTTTTTTACTTTTTGCTGGCGGATTCGCGGGCCACATAAAATGACGTGGCGGGCCGGATTCGGCCCGGGAGTTTGAGACCCCTGCGTTAACGCATTCATTAATTGACGCCGACAATTATTTTATAGCACGTTAACGCATTTTTTCATTTTGAAAGTCCGTGGAGGAAGTATCGATAAACAAAAGCAAGACAAGCTAACAGATGCTACAGAGAAGTGGATACAAACTGCAGCCGATTAGAATACACGGCATTACAACGTGCACCAGCTGTTGCTCTCCCTGGAGACTACTGGACATCGCTGCGGTCAACTCAGCAGACACTTACATTTTACTGCACCTATATGCTGAAATTCACGGTAAACGCATTCAAACGGCACAGGTCGGGAGCGAGTGAAGGAAAGGTGGCGGAAAGATTAACGTGAGACAACTTCCGGTTTCTTCAGACGAACATCCGGTTTTCAGAATATGATGCCAACAAAGTATGAATTATATTCACATTAAGTATAAAACATGCTGCATCTCGTGAGTTAAAGGGAAAATATGCATATATCAGAATGATATATAAGAAATATGATCGCTACTGTGTAAAGGGAATACTGCTGTTAAGCACCTGATGTGTTTAAAGTGTTTGCAAACCAAATGTTATTGCCCTTTTGTTCATATAGCAGTATTTTTTAAATAAGAGTGCGTAATACACTACTTTTGAATTCATTATTGAACTTTGCCATAACAATAATCCACAACATAATCGCAAAAAAATCCATGCGATTAATCGCGATTAAATATTTTAATCATTGCCCAGCACTATTCAATAGTAATCACAATTAGTTTTTTCTTTTATTTATATAACCTCTCTTGGCTAGACATCAGTCATTTGGACCCGAGTCACCAGCTGCTGCACAATCTTGAGTATATTTGATATAGCTTTATTAAATTCATTCAAAGTCCCGAAATATTGCTTTAAATACTTCACTAATAGACTGAAAAAAGTTCCTTCAAAAGAAAATAATCAAAAAATAGACCAACAAAATTAATTTAACAGTATCACTTACAAATATAGTTTAAAGATTACCATTAGTACCAGTTGTGCGACAACTAAATAAAAATGGTAAAATTCATAAAACAATTTAATAATAAAATCTCACATAAAAAAAATCTTAGTGTCCGTAACCTTTGATATCCATCTCACTTACTTCAGTACTTCTAACTGAAGTATTTATATTGTACTTTTTTCATCTTGCTGCATCACGTCCAGCGAACGCTGGATGGTTCAAACTGAAACCTGATTTTATCAACTCAACATAAAAAGGTTGAGACTATTTCAAGATTTGAGATTGAAGATTAGTAAATTTAGTTAACACATACTGTAAAAATAGTCACTTTTTAATTTGCATGCCTTTTTTGTCTATGTCAACTTCCTCTTGTAATCCATATTGGTGGATTTCTTTTTTTATAGAGATTCAAGTTACAAATGATCCCACAACCTGCTTCATGTCTTTGAAAACGCCAAATAAAAACAAAACACTAAAAGCTATAATCCTTGAGATGTTCATGAAATCATAATTTTATTAATACCATTTATGTTTTTATTGGTAGTGGCGGGGTCCGCCTTTCCCATAAGCCTTCACCGTTGATACTGCTGATGCAAACAGAACATTCTCTACTGCTGCTTAACATTAAAAGCATTCAACTGGAGAATCACAGTGGTTTTTATTGTGACCAATGTGTACAAAACAAGGTGACGGTCACTTTTGGAAGATTTCTTGACAGTGTATCATTCTTAATTTAATAATAAAAGTAGCTGTTCATGTAGAGTTGTTGCAGCATTAAACTGCCCTTGCTGTTACCATGGTCATCACAGGCGATGCCAAATCAACCAAGACTGAAATCTGAAGGATTACAACTTTGCAGGACACCAAAAGAACAAGCCAAGTTATCTGAATGTTGTTGTGTTGTGACATTAAAAAGGTGTTTGCTGTTATTTGTCTCTTAACTCCTCATCGCCTTCAACCCCACCAGCGCAGCCTGGGAGGAGCTGTAGTTGGAGGTTCAACTTCAAAAACCGCCCCTTGTCCGACTGAAGAGCAAACGAAGTAAAGGTTGGTGCCCAGCATGACCAGTATGGGGAAGAATGAGAAGCCGAAGCCGAGGCCCCTGATGCTGCTACCCAGAGAGAGGCAGAGCCAGTAGATCAGCCTGCAGCACAGGAAAAAACACAAATTATAAGTTACGAACGCCAACAAGAGGCACATCACCATTTATGTTTAATTTAGAATCAGCTTGGTTTGGATAAATAATGACAAAAACATCTGATCAGTGTATATTTATGCAAATAAAAGTACTATATATGACAAAGTAAAAGGAAAACATTTAGAATATTTAGCTTTTTCTGTTAAATCTCTGATAATTTAATTAATTTTTAAATAGAATTTAAAGAATTTTCGATTTCGGACAGGTACATTTGGCTATTGGGCAAGTAAAACATCCCAGCTACTGGCCCGTAGAATGTTCAACCTATGTGTTGTTGTAGTGGTTTATGAGTGCATCTTCACTGTTGGAGAATAGTTTCCTTAAATGTAAAATATTGTGTAAATACAAAACTGGAAAAGAGAACTTTGTGAACTTCATGAATCAATTAATAGGATAAGCATCCCTAGCAGTCATCTGGTTTCAAACACATCCCAGTTCAACCAGTTTGTGTTCAAGTGTAAAAGGTGACAGTATTCACAATAACTAGTACAACTGTCCGTCAGCACTGTTAAACTTTGATCTGTTGTACTAACTGTTGCCATGCATGCAAAGTTACAAAAGGAAGTAGACAGTACTCGCTAATACAGTAAGTGGTTTAAATATGGTTAAACAGGGGATTTGTAATAATCCTTTATGATCAGTTACGTGGTTTCACTGTGTATTATGTGTCGTAAAGTTGTGTCTAGCACTGATGGGAATAAAAGACCTTAAGTACAGAAAGACAATTCTTTAGCAGTTGGAAAGTAAATGTGCAGCCTAACATTTTTTGTCCTTGACTTAACTCACTCATTCATTCATTGAACTGAAAAGCTTGATAATGCTAGACTAGTCAACTCCTATGCATAGTAGGGATCATCCATTTGTGCAAATTACTATCAAATGCATCACTAATGCATCATCCGGCAGACATTTATTAACCAAAACAACCTTCAGAATCATCCATTCCTTCACCCATTGCTGTTTTGGATCCTAAACATTTAACAACGCATTGCAGTGAGCGCACATACCTGCCAAAAACAAATATGATGGTGAGCAGCGGCACCAGTTTGAGCAGGTCCTGGCTGATGTAAGTTGCCATGACAGCGAGCTGCAGGAAGAAGAAGAGGAAGAGGGCCATTGATTCGTTGACGTAGTGCCAGTGCACCATCACTTCTCTGTTCACCAGTTTACTCTGATAGAGGGGCTTCAGGGAGCTGTATCGCAGCCGGGCCACGCCCTGCACCACCACACCTGCAGAGAGACGAGGGTCAATTTTACCTGGTTTTATTCTGAGAGAAGTTTTTATTGTTTTTGGCTTACAATGTTTGTTTAGATTATGCAAAGTATTTGTGTCAATACACAATAAACTTAACACATGAGGTCTTACCGAGCAGGATGGGGATGATGGCGAAGAAGGCGCAGCGTAGAGTGTACACCACTCTGAGGGGGGCATCCACCAGCAGAGGAGGGTCAAAGGGAAGGAGGGCGTAACCTCCCCACACCAGGAGAGGGAAGAGGAGTCCAGCGGCCGCCGTCGCCAGGGCTACCTTCAGCTTGTCGCCGCACAGATGCTCACACAGGTCTGAGGAAGGAGTATCTTTTAAAAGTAATTTATTTTGGTCTTAATAATTGGGACAGCACAATGACAGCAAGACAAAGTGGATGAGACTGAAGTCATAGCATGACTCATCTCAACCCAAGACATGCAATTATATTTGATCGAGGAGAAAAGAGATCATCACTGTGCAGTGACTCACTTTCTTACTGAGCTGCCTGGATTGGAACTAGAGATGCACCGATTGATCGGTCGCTTACCATATCGGCCAGTTTTCAGCTCAGTAGGCCATGACCGGTGACATATCTGTCTCAGATATTGCCGATTCAGTGCCGGTTGAATTTACATGCATGCACCACACACACGCACGTAGTGGCACAGACAGTAACCGACTATTGTCACAGCTACACGCACACGCAGTGTTGCCAAATTGGTGACTTTTTCCATTATGGAAAAAGCAAGAAATGTATTTGAATATATTATATTGTTCCAATGCACGCTGCTCAGAGTAATCGTAGTGACCAGCTCTTCTGCCAACAGTGCGGGGTCTTCCTCTCCTTTTGTGGCGGGTGCAGTCAGTAGGTGTGCGGGAGGCAGGAGGACGCTGCTCACAGCAGGAGTTAATATAATACACGCCTTTACATTCTTGTAAATATATATGAAATCATATGTGGCGGCTGCAAACTTGTCAAACCATCAATTATGAAGACGTGTTGTGATGTTGAGTTGAGGCGTTAACTTTCCTGTCAGTGTGTTGCAGCCGACCATCCTGGCAAAAGACTGAGCAGCTGCGTCACACCTCTCTAAGTAGAGCAGCCTGGATAATTGGACTGTGCCATTCTGCAGCAGCAAGAGGGGTGTTGGCGGGAACCTTTACATCTGCGCCACAGCGGAGGAGTGTCTTCACACCCCTGCGATTGACTATGGACTGGGCAGCCTTGTATATATTCTGCAGTTAGGAGATGGCGAATTTTGTGTCCCTTGATCAGAAGAGCACTCACGATGTTGTTTAACTTAAGTTCTGTTTAATTGTGTTAAGTTTATACAGTTCTTCTAATTTGTCACTTTTGCTTGATTTTGTCACCCATCCTCATTATTGTACATATTTTGGGTGAATAAAATCCCTATTTTTCCCACTTTACCTGCTCTCCCAGCTGTTTGCGTACCCTGGTCCCTCACATCATAAATAGGTTTGTTTAATAGGTTAATGTGTCCATAGTTTTGGATAGATAATAAATAGTTGTACATATACAGTATAGAATAATCATTTCCCTGATATGTAAAAACATACAATTTTCCATTAAAAAAAAGTTATAAAAATGTTTGTGTATGCTGTCAATTATAGTTCTCAGAATGAAAAAAAAAAATCGAGCTTGGCAGGTCAAACTTTTAAAAAGTTGTAATTGGCCAAGAAAATTACAATCAGTGCATCTCTAATTAGAAAAAAAAATGAATATGATATGTGACCAGTTCATCAGCTGAAAGTTGCTCATTTAAAACCATACCTTCTAAGAATATACTCTGCGCCTGGCTGCAAAGACTTAAAATCCACAGCACAGCAGGCTGGCTAGACACAATTTATGCTCATCACATTTGGAGACGAGGAGATTATGTGTTCCCTCTTCCTCTCCAAAAGAATAAAACAGGATTGAGCATCTGTCTTAATGCTAATCTTTCTTAATCTGGCCTTAATTTGATTAAATAGATGTTGGATGAGGATTTTTGGACAGGAAACAGTAGCGAAGGATTAGGGGATTAAGAAATCTGATGTCTCTCTCTCTCTCTCTCTCTCTCTCTCTCTCTCTCTCTCTCTCTCT